GGCGTCGGGCGGCGTAGGCTGGGCCGGCGCGATGGCGTTCTTCGGCGGGCGTCGGGGGGGGGAGGGGCGTCGACTTCGTTGGCGGGCGCTGGCTTTGACGACGAACGCTGGCTTCTACGCTGGTGTCGACTTCGTTGGCGGGAAACAAGATCCAGCAGACCAAAAAAAAGGGCCGGTAGGCCCCATTTGAACGAGTTCAAATTCCGCCCATCTGGGCTGTCGATCTTGAGGATCGACGGGCCCAGATGAGCGGGCATTTGAGCTCGTTCAAACGGGGCCTACCGGCCCTTTTCTTTTTTTTTTTCACATCCACGGCTTCCTTGGGGGAGGAGAAGGCCCCCGACGAAAAAAGAAAAAAAAGAAAAAAGAAAAAAGAAAAAAGAAAAAAAAAAGAAAAAAAAAACTCTATGATGCACTGGGGTCGCCCGGTGGCCAACCGGGTGGGACGACCGGCCAGGCGGCCCGGCCCCCCGCCCAAACCCCGGTCTTGCAAAGGCCGATAGAACCTAAACCCTAAACCCTAAACCCGGGCACAGTTGAAGACACAGGCAGGTAGATCCTCTCCAAACCGTAACCGAATCTAAAGACTAAATAGGTGTCACGTACAGCCCCTTAGAAACAGAGCATGCCAAATGGAGAGCCAAAAAGCAACGTAGCGGATTGCCAGCCGACGACATCAAACACAACTGGCACACCGTCAACCGACATCCTGTAGTCAGCATCAAACAGCAGCAAACAACAGAGAGCAGGCTACAACAGAGAGCAGCAAAGAAAAGAAACGACGGCATCAAACACAACTGGCACACTGTCAACCGACATCCTGTACTCAAACTCGCACCGTCACCGTCACAGCAGAAAGAAAAGAAACGACAACATCAAACACAACTGGCACACCGTCAACCGACAGCCTGTACTCAGACTCACAGCGGAAACAGCAGCAGCAAACAACAGAGAGCAGGCTACTCTGGAGGCACGCCATGGAAATCGTAGTCGTTATCGCCGGGACGAAAGCGTGAACCTCAACCTGTGAATATCAGAAGCCTGCTGGACAGTTATGTCATATGTACCAGCAGGAGTTTGCTGCACGAAAGTGGTAGCAAGGAATTCCTCAAATTCTCTTCTGGCAGCTGTCAGCAGACTGTAGAGCACCTCAATTGTACACAAAGCTTGAGGCTCAGTGACAACGAATTTCAGTGCTGCTTGCACCTCAGCCTGCACCAAGCGATAAAGTAAGGTCTCACCGACCCACTGCAACTGGCGAATTGTCGACTCCAAATCACAACGGTCAAACGCCTGCAGCACCTGATTGTTTGGCAACACAAACAACGACTGTACAATCCGTCCAAGATCACCCCTCATATTGGAGATCAACAACAATCTTCGAATCTGAACATCAAGGCAGGGACAGCTTTCTGCTTCCAGCGATTCATGCTATCCCAACCAGCAAAATCAGAGTGGACGGTGAGATAGACTGTTTTGTCCCGGAGGTGGTCAATCTATTGCTGCTTGAGCGAAGCCATACTCCTCCCTACATCCTCGTCAACACTCACCAGGGAGGACTTCTTCTTGGGTGCAAACCGGGAAAGTCATGTTGATGTTGTACTCACCTTCTTTCCGGAGTGGTTGTCACCCAAGATCTGAACCACCTCCTTTCGTGACATTTTAACCTTCTGCAGCAAAGAAACCAACTGTTCATCGTGGACTCGCTGCTGATCAGCAAGCGCCCGCTGCAAGAAATCAATCTCCTGCTGCTTGATGTACAGGAGATGCAGCAGCTCATCAAGGGACCACCTAAGCCCATCTGCATCTCTATACTCGTGGCCGGAAACCTGCCGCATTTCGAAATCAGACGGGCTTTTGCTCTGTAGCGGGTAGAAGTGAACATCATAGTTCACATCCCGATACGGCCACGCACCGAAAGCGCTACCATGAACAGGCTGAGGAACAGGTCCTTCCATTGTTGGGAGCGACCCCTGCGTTCAGCGGACAGACCAAGAAAGACATTAAGACAGTGGATCTCAAACGACACGCTTGACATACAGACCCACGAATTGGTAAACAAAAAAGTAGGAAAGGCAAACCAGCGCTGCAGTACAGACCCATCGAGCAGATGCGCAGCCCCAAACAGGCAGGAGAAAACAAAACATTGTTGTCCATCACCCCCAGTCGCCCCCCCCCACTGCCCTGCCCCCCAACCCCCCGAAAACAGAGTCGATCGAGTGGTTCACTGAGGAAAGAGTCGAAGAACAACAAATGGCAGTAAGGCACAGCGAAGGCAACAATCGTGACGGGAACCCACACAGACCAGAGAAACCAACAGAGACAAAGTGAAGGACATGGACTGGGGATGCCTGGACCCTGGACAAACGGCCCCGACAGTCAGCCAGTAAGAACTCTCCAATGTGCAGCCTGGAAATGAAGTCGATCCGTGATCTCGTCCTCGAGCTCATCGCTCGAGGGAGGCTCAAAACGGCTCTCAGAAGGTGGAGGAACTGAAGCCGGAGAGTCAGGATCCAAGCCTAGCATATCCATGCGATTAGCCTCGGCACTAAGCAACACCTCGACTTCGGTGGCACTCCGTACCACCCTCGGCCTATCCTTCATACACATGCTCATGAGGCGTCCGTCAGCCCCGACATGATCGACGGCGATGTCAGGGGGACAGTAGGGCAATGGCTTTGGCACGCGGACAAGACGTCTGTCAACGCGCGAAGCCAACACAACAGTGAGCTCTGCCATTCCAATTTCCAATTCAGCATTGCGGACAGACAACGATCGGATTTGGTCATGCAAGGCAGCAACCGTTCCTCTCTCTGCAACGGGTGCCAGGTTGTGCAGAATCCCACAAAACAATTCACAGAGCATTAACAGTTCACGAGTCTGGGATCTCCTCAAATCCAGTTCGAAATCCGCATGCCTATTCCCAGGCAGTGTCAGAAGGCCCCTATCACGTACCTGCGCAAGCTCAGCGTCTTTAATCTGCAGGCTCAGATTCAGTGTCCTAACCAAGGGAAGGAGCTCGTTGTTTGCCACAGCAAACTGCAATGCTGCCCTGCTCTGCGCATGCTGAACACGCCTAAGAAGGTCGCGCCCCACCCACTGAATGTTCAGAACCAAAGCCTCGCACATACCGCGGGACATTTCAAGAAGCAGATGCGGGGAGACAACATAAAACAGAGACGCCGAAATGGCAGCGAGGTCACCAGTGACATCAGTATTCGCTACGAAGCTCTTGACCTCATACTCTGCAACTAAAGCCCTGCATCTCCACTGCGCAACATCAACCTGACTGTGAACATCTATCCTTCTCTCTAACCAGGATATCTCAGAGCGAAGAATATCCTTTTCGTGCTCAGCAATAGCAGTCGCTGCATGCTGAATCCCAGCGAACTCCTCATCTAAGCGCTGCACATCGACATTCTCGTCGAGTGGAACAGGGAGGGACATGCCCATCGACAGTGTTTAGACGGTCAACCCGAATGTTAATCAACAACGCCCTCAGCGCATTCATATCAGCCTCATGGATGGACTATTGCCTACGGATCTGTTTCTTCAGAGCTTTGTTCTCGACTCGCAGGCCTCTCAACGTCTGCAGTAAGTCGCGCTGTGAGGCAGGGAAAGAGGAGTCATTGTCAAACAGGCTGGAAGACGACGTGGCACTGCTGCCCGGCCCAGGAGGAGGAATCCCATCAGATATATACGTTGGATTCAAGATCCTCCCAACCGGGAACGAACGCACCAAAGCTTCGCCATTATCCATGGCAACAATGTTGAACCTACGGCGACACAACACGAAAAAAGGAACAATCCTCAATCAGACAACAACGGGGGGGATGTACAAACCACAGAACGGGACGATACATGTATTATAACTCGTCAAGAACAACAACCACCAGATATGCCACAGGAGTAAAGCATATATCGACCAGACTTATGACCACGAATCCAGCGACAGACACACAGGAATCCAGAAACAAAACGTCACTCGCAGCACACGTTCGAGACACAAAGCACCGGAAGTCAGAATAAGGGAACGGTTCCAGAGAAGTACACTTGGACCACACATGGTACGGAATGGCTGCAGGAGCAGGAGACAGGACAACGACACAAGTGCGAAGATGAACAAATGGGGGGAAATCAACACCAAGGACGATCGGCACACACCATTCGTGCAGGCCACCAACCCAAAAACGGGTCCCAAAGACCGCCGCAACCTCAAGTACAGAGAGACAGCAATAGACCCAACCGTACAACATGCCCATCCCGACGTCGAATGGAGCGAGGCACATCTAGGAATGAACAGACGGGGGCAAATCAACACCAAGGACGATCGGCACACGCCATTCGTGAAGGGCACCAACACAAAAACGGGTCCCAAAGACCGCCGCAACCTCAAGTACAGACAGACAGCAATAGAAGCGACAGACACACAGGAATGCACAAACAAAACGTCACTCGTAGCAGACGTTTGACACACAAAGCACCGGAAGTCAGAATAAGCGAACGGTTCCAAAGAAGTACATTTGGACCGCCAGGAGAGAATTTGGGCGGGTTCCAAAGAAGTACATTGTGTAGAGAAGTACATCTGGACCGCCAAAGAAGTACATTGTGATCGCTTTGCTGTCTTTGGACCGTCAGGAGAGAATTTGGGCACGTTCCAAAGAAGTACACTGTGATCGCAACGTTGTTGGGCGGGTTCCAAAGAAGTACATTGTGATCGCTTTGCTGTCTTTTCATTTGGAGCGGGTGGCTATGTTGTACGACTCAGTTTGCCACCAAATGAAAAGGCATCACAGCACACAGAGAACCTCAAATGCAGACAAACATCATGACAATCTTCACCACGAATGCACCGACAGACACCAGCTATTAAACAAACAAAACCCATCTGGAAAAAGCACTTCACATAGAAGAGATGCAGACAAACATCATGATAATCTTCACCACGAATGCACCGACAGACAACAGGTATTGAACAAACAAAACCCATCTGGAAAAAGCAGTTCATACAGAAAAGACCAGACTCTGTGATAAGGGCAGGGTTCCAAAGAAATACATTTGGTCCACACAGGACAACGACACAGGTGCCAAGATGAACACACGGGGGCAAATCAAAACCAAGGACGATCGGCACACGCCATTCGTGAAAGCCACCAGCCCAAAAACCGGTCCCAAAGACCGCCGTAGCCTCAAGTACAGAGAGACAGCAATAGACCCAACCGTACAACATGGCCATCCCGACGTCGAATAGAGCAAGGCAGATCTAGTAATGAACAGACGGGGGCAAATCAACACCCAGGACGATCGGCACACGCCATTCGTGAAGGCGACCAACCCAAAAACGGGTCCCAAAGACCTCCGCAAGCTCAAGTACAAAGAGACAGCAATAGACCCAACCGTACAATATGGCCATCCCGATGTCGAATGGAGCGAGGCACATCTAGTAATGAACAGACGGGGGCAAATCAACTCCAAGGACGATCGGCACACGCCATTTGTGAACGGCACCAACCCAAAAACGGGTCCCAAAGACCGTCGGAACCTCAAGTACAGACAAACAGCAATAGAAGCGACAGACACACAGGAATGCACAAACGAAACGTCGCTCGTAGCACACGTTTGACACACAAAGCACCGGAAGTGAGAATAAGGGAACGGTTCCAAAGAAGTACATTTGGACCGCCAGGAGTGAATTTGGTCGGGTTCCAAAGAAGTACATTGTGATCGCTTTGTAGAGAAGTACATCTGGACCGCCAAAGAAGTACATTGTGATCACTTTTGCTGTCTTTGGACC